GTGACCCCCAGCAGTTAATAAGCCATGTGGGCTGCACAAAACTCGAGAAAACTGTCAAAAATGACGTGTTCAACTTCCCAGTGGCCGCGGCAGTACGTGGTGTCGCGCATTGCCGCGGCAGTTACCACTGCCGCGCACCTCTCGAGTATTTTGGCTCTAACTTCCTCGTCCGATGTCGGAATAAGGTGATCCAAGATGCGTTGGAAAGCTGACGAAGAGATCTACAACTTTTATCTTTTGAGATTCTTCAGATTTGGATCATATCATGGCTTAAATGTGCAATATATTACCGCGGCAGTATACACTGCCGCGCACCTCCGATGCAGTTTGCGACCTCTCGGGTATTTTGGCTCTAACTTCCTCGTCCGATGTCAGAATGAGGTGATCCAAGATACGTTGGAAAGCTATCGAAGAGATCTACAACTTCGCATTGGCGCTTCACTATGTTTATGTAACGCCCCCGCCCCAGAATCCCGGAGTCGGTCGCTATTAGCAATCTGATGGACTGGCCTCTACAAACCACCAGCATGTATTTTAGGCACGTTTTTGTCCTCAATTACGTGCTCCCGTGAAAAACTTCCCTAGGGGGTCAGCCCATCCTAGTATATTTCTGCCAAGGCCATAGCGACTGCTTAAGCTTTAGAGTTTCTAAAGAGTTGGGTTTCCCGGAAAAGAAGAATGGCATCTTGTGTATGAGTATTGCCATACAATTCCTATCAATACTAATGCACATCAGCCCTCTGCAACGGGTTGGGGTATTACATTACTCCCACGCACTTAAACTCACAACGTCCTCGGTTGTGGGCCAATCATATCATCTCAAGACGTACCATTCCGTGTGAGATTCTAGAGGTGGCTGCCTAACGGCCTCAAGAGGTGGCTCCCGCCCTCTCGACGTAGCACTTTGCGCCGCATAGCACTTAGCTCTCACAATTCCGGTTGGCTTTGCTCTGATACCATTTGTAACGCCCCGCCCCAGAATCCCGGAGTCGGTACGCTATTAGATCTGATGGACTGGCCTCACAAACCACCACATGTATTTTCAGCACGTTTTGTCCTCACTTACGTGCTCCCTGAAAAACTTCCCAGGGGGTCACCCATCCTAGAATTTCTCCAAGCCAAGTACGCTTAACTTTGGAGTTTCTAAGAGTTGGGTTCCCGAAAAGAAGATGCATCTTGGTGATATGAGTATTCCAATCAAATCTATCAATACTAATCACATCACCCTCTCAAGGGTTGGGGTATTACAGTTTATTTGCGCGACACCTTGTACTGTCGCGCTGTTGCCGCGGCAGTGTACACTGCCGCGCACCTTCGATGTAGTTTGCGACCTCTCGGGTATTTTGGCTCTAACTTCCTCGTCCGATGTCGGAATGAGGTGATCCAAGATGCGTTGGAAAGCTATCGAAGAGATCTACAACTTCCCATTGGCGCTTCACTATGTTTATTTGCGCGACACCTTGTACTGTCGCGCTGTTGCCGCGGCAGTATACACTGCCGCGCACCTCCGATGCAGTTTGCGACCTCTCGGGTATTTTGGCTCTAACTTCCTCGTCCTATGTCGGAATGAGGTGATCCAAGATGCGTTGGAAAGATATCGAAGAGATCTACAACTTCCCATTGGCGCTTCACTATGTTTATTTGCACAACATCTTCCACTACCGCGCAAATACGCTTCAGTGTTTCTTGTCGTGGGTGTTCATATTGTTCTTCTATGTTGTCTAGCTTCCTTTGAATGATCCCCTTTGATTAAGAGAATGACGTTTATCGCCTCTTCTTTGTCTTGAGTAGTATTTGGATATCTGTAAGTATTTTTTGACGCCTACATATATACCGGTCGATATTTAATACATTGCCTATAAGAGTAATATTTAAAGATATAAGTTCCTTGATTTTAGATCTTCAATAATTATATATTATTCCCTCAAAATTTTGAAACTAATATTGAATTATTAAAAATTTGAGGGACAAAAATATAAACAAGCCAAATTTAAAAGTGTTATTTTTTTGAAAACTCTCTCAACTATGGGAATTGTCTCAAAAATCCCACTCAATTGATTTAATTAGACAAAACACCTAAACTATGAGGGTATTGTAGATAACCCCTCTTAACTTTGGTGCGATTTTAGAAAACACCCCTCGACTATAGCGTGTCTCATAAAAACTCCTCTGATCTTTTACACTTCTCTTAACAAATCCCTTAATGTATTACTTGAATATGTGATTTTGAGAAAATACCCTCTTGAAGAAAGCTATTTTACTTAAAAAGAAACTCCCAACCGATTATAAAAGGACAACAACCAATTTATTTTTTCTTTTCCCCTCTATATCTCCTCTTTTTCTTTAATCTAGCAAAAAATAAGCTAATTCTTTTATGGTTGAATGATATTTTGTTCTTTTCAAATCAAATACTTATCATATAATAGATTAGACTCAATGATATTAGTTTTGAGCGGTTAAGTGAGAAAAGTTTATAGGGTTAAATAAAAAATTTGAAGTTGAGATAGATTATCTACAATACCCTAAATTTGACGAAGATTTACTCAGTTTCAAAGTTAGCAATTTTTGTGGTCAAAGGTCTGAATTCGAGGCAATTTTTGTGGCCAAAGGTCCGAATTCGAGGTTTGCCACCCATGACTCTTAAGTGTCCTACTAACCTGGTGGCTTGATGGGGGTAGGGGGGCTAGTTCACCCAGGTTTTCCTTGTATCCCAAAAAATAATAGCCGAGTTTTTTTTTTTTTTTGACATTGCCCCTCATAGCTGAGAGGAAGCTTTCTAAAGTTAACCCTTAAACAAAGCGCAACTTAAGGGACATGTGACATCATTCTTATAAAAGTGGATTTTATAGCAAGTATATCACTCTATAAACTCATTTGGGTTATGTGTCCTAAGATTTATCCTCTACATCAACTCTGAAAACCTTTTGCTACAAAAATCTCTAAGAGAAATTTAATCTTTATTTGCGAGGAGTATATGATCTTTGTGATTCTACCTTGTCTTTCGTGATTTGTAATAAACTATTTGACAAGAAAAATTAAATTGTTCATTTTATAGTTATCGCTTTTTTAGAAGTTTATGAAGCACATAGCTTGGGTATGAATATTGTTGCGAATATTAGATTCTCTAACTCCTTAACCTAAATTTTTGGATGTTGTTTGACGTTGGATAGATCTGAATTATTTATTAAAATATAATTCATAGTGTATAATATGTATAAATCATTCTCATATTATATTTTATAATTTTGTGAAACTAGAGAGTAATCATTTTGACAAATCTATTAATTAGTTGGGAAAATATAGAAAGACTACAATATCAAATTTTGGAATTGATTATATAATTTATGTTTTCTTTTTTGATTGAATTTGTAACTTCTAGCAAAGAAAATTCTAGAAAAAATGTTTTGAATATCTATAAAACTTGGTCACCGGATAAACAACAGTTAGAAGTAAACAATAGGTGAAAGTGATTTCTTTTTAGTTAAACAAAATCATATATGACCGGATAAAACCATTTTACTTTGATGAATTCAAGAATTTATTTTTATCATTAATAATAATATTTTCTTGATATTGGTCCCTTACATCATTAATATTTTAAAATTAGATCTTTAAGTCATTAAATTGCTCTTAAGTCATTAATATTTTAAGATTTTTTCCTGTGGAAGGTAAAATGTTGAAACCAACAAGATATTATACATGAAAATATCCAATTTTTTTTAATATATTATCATAATCATAAACCTTTTTTGCAACTATGTTATAGTAAATAAATAAACTTAAAATAAATAATTAAGATATTTGACCACGTACAGTGTACGTGCATTCCACCTAGTTAAGTCAGCTACGAAGGGTTCGACAATGAGAGATGAGTCACAATCAACAACATTGAGACCTATCTCACACATATGATTTCATTGGGTTTTTTCTAAAGGATTTAACTGCACCAAAATATCATGTAGTTTCCCTACCCTGCACTTATATATCCTCACTTGTTTTTATGGCACTTGTATACCCTAAAGTTTTTATAACTTACACTTATATATCTTCACTTATTTTTTTGGCAGCATTTAACACTTTGATGTTTTTAAAACTTGCGGTTAAATACTCTAAAATTTTTAAAACTTACATTTAGATGTTCTCAATTATGCAAAAGCGAGAATTTCTGATGGCACGATAAAAAAAACATACGGATGAACAAATACTCCCCGTCCCTTTGTGAAATAAAATTGACCCGGTAAGAGAGAAAAGACCGGCTTGTTTAGGTCCAAATCCGATAGACTATTGAATTTTAAATTCTTAGGTGGTATTCTTAAAATTTATAATATGCTCATGGTTTGCTCCAAGCACCTCTTTTGGTGAAATGCACATTGCAGCTTAAATTAATTCCTCTTGCTCCCCCCCCACGGCGATGCCAATTGCAAAGGAAACTCCAAGGCCAACTTCATCCGCAATCAGCTTGCATCAACTCGATATCAAGCACTTACAGAACGAACCCTGCCTCAAACCTCATTGAGATAGGATTCTCAAACAATAAAGACATTGAAAATTTTTATAACAAATGATCACATACGAACCGCATTTTGAACACAGAAAATGACTAAAAATTACACTAAGCGCTAAAACCGAACATCCTCATTCTCTTTTCACTCATGACCATCTTATTATTATCATAAACTAAAAGACGGGTCTAACTTAACGGAGGAGATGACCTATAACAAAATGGAATGGAAGAATTGAATTCATATATAGCCGACCCCAAACATTTGGGACAAAGGCTTGGTTGCTGCTGATGTATAACTAAAAGACCAACTCGAAAGACCTCTAAAATATGTAAAAGAAAGCCACGAACGAAGTTCACAACTAAAATAAATCCACAAGCCACAAATTTCACCCAGACATTAACTTCATAACCAAACACAACTATAGCTGACAGTAGCAAATCATTTTAAAAATCACACAACTGTGGTTTCCTTATCCCAAAAGCCAGAAATATCAACTTAAAATCAAAGATGCAAGCTAGTATCCATTCAATCTCAAGTATGTAGCATGAACGCTGCCTCAACTTCATCGATGCAGAAGTTCCAGGCAATAAACATAACACGTGATCCAACGTAAACATCCCTTTTAAACGCAGAAAGAAAATGACTAAACCATACTAAACACAAAAGCCGAACATTTTCATTCTCTTTTCCCTCGTCACCATTTTATCATCATCATCTACCTATCATAGAAGTTTAGGTGATCATCAACTAAAAAGACTCCTACCATCTCAACAACCTCTAAATAAGTGAAAAAGGAGCACGGCAAAAGTATTGCTCAAACAATATGCAAGAATTATAACAAGGGATGTAGATAAAAGGATTGATGAGCGTATTGGTTCTCTGATCTCGATCGATCTTAATTAAAGATCTTGAAGAGGATGCCTCCGTGGGTGGCAAAGAAAGGGGCAAAGACAAGGGATTCAACGGCCATGAGCTTGATGAGAATGTTGAGAGATGGGCCTGACGTGTCCTTCAGTGGATCACCAATGGTGTCACCAATAACTGCAGCTTTGTGAGGGTCTGATCCTTTAGGACCGAGAGTTCTTGCGTGCTCTGAAGCTCCAGCCTGATCAACAAGATTAGAAGGCAACAATTACTTTATAAGAAATAGCACACTTCAATGCGCAATCAAGTCATGAGTTCCATGTTGCGAGGTTTGGGAATTATGAGTTAGCCAAGAGAAGCTATGTTTAGGGGGCAAAAGTGAAATAAATTTGTCGAAGGTGGTGACAACATCCAAATGATGAGTTGAAAGCATTATTAGCAATGAGGCGGCGTAAATTTACAATTTAAAAAAAAATGAATGCAACAAAAAGGTTGCAAATCAATTGTTCACTGAAGAAACTGTGGAATGAGGAAGGACAAAAGGTACAAAGGAATTGCAGAAACAACAAGATATAATGAAGAAAGTAGGTAATGCAAAAACAAGGTGCAGTATTTATAGAAGAGAAGTGTCTCAATGTGTAAGAAGACGAGCCTCCATAATTGGGACGAAAAAAACAGTATCAGTACAAATTTTAAATTCAAAGATCAAGCTTGGGAGTTGCAGGCAATAGACTTTACCTCAATGTACTTCTTCGCGTTGTCCCAAGCACCACCAGTGTTAGATGCAGAGATAGCAATCTATCAAACATTATAAAAGGAAAAATAATCAATTACGGTCTTCACGGATGTTCAATTTGACTATTGAGGATTCAACCAACAAACCTGAACTCCAGAGACAAGAGATCCAGCAAGGACCCCAGATAGAGTCTCAACACCAAAGAGAGCTCCAACAATGATAGGAGTAAGCATAACAAGAGCACCAGGAGGGATCATCTCCTTGATGGAAGCATCAGTGGAGATCTTCACACAGGTAGCATAATCAGGCTTTGCAGTTCCCTCCATGAGACCAGGAATAGTGTTGAACTGCCTTCTGACTTCCTCCACCATCTTGAGAGCTGCACTGCCAACGCTCTTCATTGTCATGGCTGAGAACCAGTAAGGAAGCATAGCACCCACAATGAGACCAATGAAGACTTTAGGGGTTAGAACATCGACAGTTGAGATTCCTGCTCGGCTCACGAAAGCACCGAATAGGGCCAGGGACACTAGGGCAGCGGAACCAATGGCAAAGCCCTAAAAACAAAGAAGAACATGCACAATCAAGTAAAGGTTTGCATCAATTAGGGAACCAAATAGCTAATGATGTTCTGAAGGATAAACGGAAAAAAGAAATGCATCAATTAGGAGAGGTGATAACATTATAATTTAATGGAGCAAGAGGCAGGCCTCAAAGCATGGTTGGAACTACTTAAAAAATTACCCTGAACAAAACTGAATGGAAGAATATGATTCATGTAAAAATTTGGGATATGTTGTCGTTGAAAAAAACTAGCAACAGATGATATATAGACACCCACATGCACTATCAAGGCAATAATAGCTAAAGTCAGTAATAATAACCTATAACTGTTTAGAGCAATTCACAATTCAGTATAAACAACAGAGTTTTAAGTGAACTTCGAAGTACCATTCAAAAGAGTCCAGATATTGAGAAAGCCAATGCTAGTACTGATTACTTCATAAAAAATTAGTAGTTATGTCTCAAAAAGACCAAAAAGACCCCTCCTTGGATGCATCCCTTAACCAGACTAGGGCAACACACATGTATTGCAGCTATACTTCCCATAGTGACAGTTATATTGCATACCGACTACATAAATCAAGACAGGATAGCTAAAGGCAATACCTTTCCAATAGCAGCAGTGGTGTTTCCTGCAGCATCAAGAGCATCAGTTCTCTCACGAATCCTGTGGCTCATCCCCGCCATCTCTGCAATGCCTCCAGCATTGTCACTGATAGGACCATAAGCATCAATTGCCAATCCAGTGGCAATTGTGCTCAACATTCCAAGAGCAGCAACAGCAATACCATACATCGCAGCCAAGCTGAAACTAACAAAAATGCTGATGGCAATGGCAAATATTGGAATAATGACGGACTTGTATCCCAGAGCAAGCCCAAAGATAACGTTAGTAGCTGCTCCAGTTCTGCAAGAATCAGCAACATCCTGCACAGGGCTGCAATGAAGACAGATGTGTTACTTACCAATCAAAAGAGACTGAGAAATAGAAAAAGTAAAGAACAATAATCACCTGTATGCATTGCTAGTGTAGTATTCAGTAACAAAGCCAATAACCAGACCAGCCCATAAACCAATAGCAACACAGAAGAAAAGCTCCCTGCCAATTCCAACTCAACAAATTAGATAACAATATATGAAACAAGACTCAACGGTAGCTCCCTGTCAATTCCGACTGAAAAAAATTAGATAATTATATGAACTATTTTAAAATAGTTTTGGCTTACCAGTTCTTCACTTCCTTCTGGACACCAAAATTGAAGATAGTGAAGGAAGCTGGAAGAGCTACCCAACTAACAACAGCGATTCCAACAGTCATAAGTGCAGTAGAGATAATGAGCTGCTTCTTCAGTGCAGGCTCAATCTCCTTCACCGCCTTAATTTCAAAAAAGTCAGTTGCAAAGAGAGTCGTGATCAGACAGACAATAATGCCCATGGAGCTGATAAGGAGGGGGTACATCATTGCAGTAAATTCATGGTTGATCCCAAAGGAAGATATTGAGGCAACAACAAGGGCAGCACAGGATGACTCAGCATAAGAGCCAAAAAGATCAGAACCCATCCCAGCAATATCCCCAACATTATCACCAACATTGTCAGCAATAACCTGTTAGAATATTGATTACTTAGAAGAGGAGCATCCAAGGAAAAAAAATAAAAATTTAGACGTTTTAGCATGAGTTGAAAGCTTGTACTAGAACTCCGCCAATAGCAAAAAAGAACACAACCAAAAAGACGAAAGTAGGACACCATGAGACCTTCCTATACATTTATCTAATCCCAAATGTCAAATTTTAGGCTGCATTCTAATGCTCTTACACACTGAACTTTGCATTGGATTGTTTCACTTACCTCACAATCCATGTTCTTTTATAGGCTCAGCAAAGCAAGCGCAACTGCCTAAATTAATTCAAAAGAATATGAAATAGATTTAAATTCAATCGCTCAATTAGACCTCAAAAGATTATTGGGTTGGGTAAGGATCATTAAACATCTTACCATATGTAGCATCCAGTTATCCCTTTAACCAGATATCTAGTGTAAGGAAAGGAAAGGAATTCACTTAACGACAGCCAAATCCTCCAAACACTAAGAAACTTTTGAATGATTATTACACCATACGAATGATTATTACACCATACGCTTCGACACGTGGGGGAAAAATTAGAAGAGTTATGGAGCAAGAAAAAGTTGCCAATTACTATCTAAATGCATGATCCTAAAATTTTAAAATGGATAAGCAGGTGGGGTCTTGGGGTACACTACTCACTGTGTCACCTAGTTTTTAACGAAAATTTTTAGTTATTTCGCACAATCGTGGAAATTTCTCATCCAACTGACCACTTCTAACGCAGTAACTTTAGGAACATTTGATTTCTTACAAACTTAGTTAGCCATGTAGTTTGGAATGAATTGGGAATATCAACTAACAACCAAGAGGACAGAATAATATCAAATAAGATTCTAGTCCGAAAATTATTTTTGACTTAGTAGCAACTAAATTCCTTAAAAGCATTGATAGCAGAAAATTGGAAAAGAATCTAAAGATGTCAACAGGAGAAGATATTCTTACAGCAGGGTTCCTGGGATCATCCTCAGGGATGTTCCTCTCGACCTTGCCAACAAGATCAGCACCAACATCAGCTGCTTTAGTATAAATACCTCCACCAACTCTTCCAAAAAGAGCCATGGAAGACCCACCAAGCCCATAACCGGTAATAGCCTCAAAGAGACCCTCCCAGTCTTCTCCATAATATATTTTAAATAAATTAATGGTGATGAACAATACAAGAAGCCCATTGGCAGCAAGCAAGAAGCCCATCACTGCGCCAGATCTGAATGCAGTGATAAAAGCCTTGCCAACACCCTTCCTTGCTTCTAACGTAGTCCTTGCATTGGCATAGGTCGCAATCTTCATGCCAAGGAAACCAGAAACCACAGAGGTGATAGCACCGAGCACAAAGGAAGCAGTGCTGAAGATGGCATTAGCCAAAGCAGGCTTGCACATCATCGACTTGTTGTAGGTGCATGGTTGGCTTGCAGTGCTGAAGCCTTCCACGGACCCAAGGAAGACGAAGATAAGCACCGCAAAAGCAACCATAAAGATTCCAACATATTGATATTCCGTGAAAAGGAAAGAAGTAGCTCCTAATAACACGATAAGTTTGGTGTCAAACCACAAGCATTCCATCATGATAAGCAAACAATAAACTTTCTGGAAAAATAAAATCTCAAAAGGTTCAGTAAAGTAACAGCACTCACAGGATTATTGTAAACAATAAATGCTATTAACTCTCTAGAGTAATGTTTTAATATACAACACAATAAGAACACATAGCAGGCTGACCGCAGAAATGCAACAAAAATACCAAGTAGAGGATGAATTTTGTTTGGCAACTGAACAGAAAAGAAGTTCAGGCAACTTTTACAAAGATCAGGTTACACAGTAGATGGACAGCTTTACTCCTAGATCTTAATAGTATGAATCACTTGAATGGAACAAAAATGTGAAGAACTAAAACTGAAAGGACTTATATGTAGAAAAATAAAGGAGATAAAACAGTTTTGAGTTTGTTTGTAATAAAGTTTATATTTACCTGACAGTCAGTAAATAATAGTAAATGAAGGCAACGAAGTTAGCAAAATAACTCTTTAAGTAAGAACAAGTAATAAATATATAGAATAGTTAAACTGGGAATCTTCCTTCCTTTTCCTTTTTACCAGGTACTTTGTAAACAATAGTGAGATAGCAAACAAAATGAAGAAAACTGAGTTAGCAAGCAAAGTAACACTATAATAAGTAAAAAATATGCAGTATTGTTAAACTAGGAAATTTCACATGAAGAACGTTGCATTTATTTGACCAATTTCATTATAAATCTTGACTATCTTTAGAACTTGAATGGAACATAATTGTGAACCATATAAATATGTGACTGGCATGTATAAAATAAAGCAATTAAATCAGTTAAAGTAAGTTCCAATACTGCATATCCCGAGCTAGAGTAAACAATAGTACAGGCACAATATGTGTAAACGTAATTACACTAGTGGTTACAGTTAATGACAGCTGCAGAAGACATTTTGATGCCAAACTAGAAGACAATAACAGAACAGAAACGCAGAATGAAATTATAAGATCCGTAAGAGTAACCTAAGTATGAGTCAAAAATTAATAGGTTTTGACACCCACCCAACAAAGAGTTGTCAAGTAAATTTAGTAGTAAACAAATCCAAAAGAAGATACAGCCACAATATGCAGTCCAGTGAAAGGATACTCGAGCACTTAGATGTGCTAGCACACTGACAAATTGGATAATAAGCAGAAAGATTCTGAAATAGGAATATAGAAAGGTAAAAAAAACAGATATTTTTATAGTTTAACTACTCAAAATCAAATCTAGAAAAAAAAATTACAATTTATCAGATCCAACTACAATTATTAAATTAAACATTCTTTTATGCATAAATATCAAACACAAAAAACAGATAAGATAAAGAAATAAAACTAAACTAAATCATTAAAAGAGCAAAAGTTACACTTAGTGCTCAAGAAACTCCGTAGATTAATATTTAATAATCATAACAATCACGAAGACTAATAACACAAAAAAGAAAATAACTGAACTTTCTTAAATTAAAAAAAAAGACAAAGAAACAAAAGATAAAATTGCTAATAATTGAACAAAACCTCAAATTTGCAACTCTAAAATCAATTTTAAGGTAATAAAAAAACGACTACGACCAACTGCAACTCTAATTAGTTAAAAGATCTGCAAGAAACTACGAGAATAAAACCAAGTTCATCAAAGTAAACCCCTAAAAATCGAACTTTAAGCTCCTCAAGCACATCCAAAATGGAAAAATCAAGTAAATCAAAACTCAATTACAAGACAAGGTAGCAGTCTTATTCTTAAAGACGAAAAAGATATAATCTTTTAACCTGCACAACGCAGCACAAGTAATTTCCGAACTGAAATAAGAAAATTCAATCAAGTTCAAAACACCCTAAGCGCTAAAAACAAACAATACCCTATTCGACTAAAAACAAGATCTAAACTCCAGAAAAAGACTCAGCCTTCAAATAAAAAACAACCAGATCCAAAACCCTAGCCTTATCTGCATTTCACCTCACCTTCAGAAATCGCATTCTGAATTTCCGCGCACTTCACGACAACATTATGATCATTAAGCCCCTCCTCCTCCTCGATTAGGTAATCGCCATACCCATTCTTCTTGCTACCGTGCGCCGTCGGCGACTGCGCCTCCGGCGAGACCTTCACCTTGGAGACGATAGCCCACTGGACCAGCGAGAACACGATCCCGATCAACGCCGCGACCGGAATCAAGATCTCCGTCAAGAGATCGGAGAGGACCGCCGCTCCCATCGCAACAAAACCTAGATGGAGATCTATAAACGAGAGAAAAAAAAAGGGGGGCGGATCCAAAAGAGCTCGCTTTGAGAGTGTACGAGGGTTTCTCGAGGGAGCGATGAGCTCTTTATATAGAGCGAGCGGGTTCGATTTAGGGCACTTCAACGAGTTTAATTACAGCTGATGATGTTTATCTTTGTTTTTGGTATCAGGGTTAATTATGGTAAGTATAATCCCCCTTATTTTTATATTCGGCTGTTTTTTTTTTCGATTTCGGTCCCTGCTCTTTAATAATTTGACTCAGTCCCTCAAATCATTCACCTTGCTCTTCAGTCCTTCAATTTTTTTTTATCGCTTAGCTGTCACTATCGACTAATTTAGAAGGAATATTCCATTTAACTTGACCTTTTATTATTGATTTCTATCTATACCATTTTGCTCAAGTTAATCGAAACTCAAATTCATTCATTTGTTTATCCTCGCTAGTGTGAACACAGTGCAAAGCACGACATACGGTACATTAATTTTTTTTCTACAGCAATCCCATTTTGAATGCTACACTAATTTTTTTTAAAATTACTACGGTATCCCATCTCTGCCTCAGTTTTTTTCAAAAATGCTACAATATTCCATATGCTTCAGTATTTTTTCGAAAAAGAACGCCACAGTACCCTGTTTCCTGCTTGCTACGGTAAATGTTACTATAGCATTTACTGTAGCATAAATAGTAAATTTTGAGTTCTCCCAATTGTATAGAGGAATAGATATCCATTTTATCCTTATTTCTTTCTAGAAAATATTTCTTTTAAGAGCTAAAATCAATAAAATCCTTTAAAGACTTTTTGTAGCCTCAAATTTAAGCGCTAGGTTAAAAGTAGTTCAACCTTAGTTTGAGAATGTTTCAAACTCATCAACGGACTGACTAGAAATAACTGTACAGATTTTGGGACTAAACAACAATTTCAATGATTTGATGGTTGAGCTTCTACTTAAATGAAAGATTCCAAGGGACCGAATGCCAAAAAAAAAAGTCTGTCATGGTTATCCGCCGGAGTATTTTAGTTTTAAGTCGCGCATTAAAAGTGGATAGGTTAATAATGGAGATCTTAATTGAGGTAAAAAGATAAAGATAGCATGCTGACGTGTACGTGACTCCCGACGCCTCAATTTTCGTGCTAATACTTATCTTTAATGACGGGTTTGATGTGTGGTTAATTAGCTAAGTTTTAACGATTGAGATTGTTTTGAGATTCCTCGCGTGCCAAATGGACGAACGCGATTGACTCCAATAAACTTTGATGATCGCCTACCGTATTACTTTATGATGATTAATTAATATAATAATACAGTTACGTGTGACCTCCTCCGTTAAAAAAGGAGAGCGGATGGCGTACGACTCCTCTGACTGACAGGTGGGCCCGTGTCATGGTGAGGAACCGTCTAGAATATGGTGAATTCTTGGACTGGTTGCGGATAACAAAAAGGTTTGGGTAAAATTTCACATAACTCACAATCTTTTGGTTTATTTGAGATAACCAATGAACTTTAAGAATGACGGTTAACCCCCTGACTTTTTGGCGTTTCACAAAATCCCAGGCTTTTTGCGATTTGAGTTTTTGAAAGCCTGGTCGTGGTTTTCTGAAAACTTGAGGATTTTGAAAATAATATCAGGGGGGTGTTTGTTTCAAATCCTATAATTTTAGGATATGAATTTTACCATGGGATTTAAAATCCATATGTAGTTTGTTATGGGTTGGGATTTCTAAAACTTTGTTTGTTTCAACAATGTTTTGTGATTTGAAATACTATAATTTATAATATTTTTGTTTGTTTCAAACTTTTTAGAATTTAAAATCCATAATTTGTATAAAGCTTTTGAAACCCACCCCACATCCCACATAAAAAAGATGATTTTACAAATCCTTAAATATATTATTTTTTTATTACTTGGGGATTTAATATCCTAAAACTTATTTTGAAACAAACAAGTCTTATGGAATTCTAAAACCCTAATAAACCTCTTTTTACATCCCAAAACTTGAAATTCACACCATATCCTAAAACAATGAAACAAACACCCCCTTAATGGTTTCAGAATTTTTGGAAAATAATGTTTGAAAGTTTGGGATTGTTATGTCAAAAAAAAAAAATATAGCTAGCACGTTGAGGAAACTCTGAACACTTTTGAGGGTTATGCAAAACATGCAAAGTTACAGCTTTGGTAAGGGTGTTTTTAGGTAATACGGAAAGTGTCGACGTGTCATTATCTGAACCGTCGAGTGCTTCGTGAGGGTGTTTTTAGAAAGTTGGACGGCAGAGGCGAGCTCATGGGCAAACAACGCGAAAGCAACGGCTCGGAATGGTCGAGATCGAGATGCCTGACGTCTACGGCGGCGCGTAGTAGCAACCGTAGGCGTTCAGCTTTTGAGCGGGTTGTTTTTACGGATTTCATTTCTTTATTGTTTTCCCTGATTAAATAAAAGTGTCAATTTCCGTTTCAGAAGAGGGGCCTAACTTTGGGGTGGTTGCAGATAGCCCCCCGTCTTAACTATCTCGATTTCACAAAGCCCAATGAACTTTGAGGGTCATTGCACGTGACCCCCTTGTACTCCTGTTATTCTGCTAAACCCCCTTGAGAATTTAGCACTTTAACCTCCAGAGTGGCATCTGTTAGTCTAACGCATCATATGTCAAGCACGTAATAATGACCACAATCTGTTAGAGAATTTTAGTATTCCCACCTACTACAATATGTGCAATTCCGAAGTTAAACACACAATCAACAAGATAGAAAATGACCATAATCAAGAAAAAAAAAACACCGAGATTTACGTGGTTCGACCTACGTCCACGGGGCAATAATACGAGAAATTACTATGTATCCGGGAGAACTATAAGAGGAATCACTCAGCTCTCGTCTCTTAATCTCTCAACCTCACATACATAATCAACTCTCATATTATCTCCAAAGCCCCCTCCTTACAATCTTTTGAACGAACAAATACTATGAAACACTCTCCCAATGATGTAATCTTTTGCACGGACAAAGACTACGAAACTCTCGCCTCTCGCACAATATTCTTGAATTAAGTTATACCCTCCGGTAACTCTAGATTATAAGAATACCGGCTCTCTCTTCTCTGGTTTTTTCCCTCCAACAATAGAATAATATATATAGAGAAGGGTGTTGCTACAGGGACCCAAATAGGGGACAGGTGAGGTGTCAGCCCATGGGGGCTTGATGCATTGTTCATGAACAGTGCATCAAGCCCCCATGGGCTGACACCTCACTTGTCCCCTCAGGGGTCCCCTATTTTGGGGTCCCTGAGGAGTTTTCCTATAGGGAAACCAGAACCTTATCTCTAGTTTGACTTCCTAATTAGAGTAGGATTCAAACTCCTAATAATGATGAGACCAAATCTACTAATCATGATAGATCTCCTACCCTATCTAATTCTCATGAAGTTATACAAAGAATCGAAGACACGATCCTAACACCGTCAATCGTAAAAAAAAAGAAAAGAAAATAAATAATAAAAATGATACTATCTTGATGGTCGTCTCTACATCAAAAAATCTTCGAAGAGTTTGTGGGATAACAAAAGTTGACGGGCTACGCGCAAAACCACTCCAAATTCACTGGTTCTTGTGGAATAAAATAGCCAAGCGGCTATCTGCAAAACCCTCAAAGTTCAAGTTTGGAATTAACCATTTAGATCTATTCATGCTCAAATAGAAAAACATTAAAACTGCATTTAATAGATTATTGAGAAATTTTAATTAGCAGACCCTTTTAACGGTGTTAATGATGCTGTAAATTCTCTCGGTGTTAATTTGTGACCATGAACAAACAATGAAGCGATATCCATTTATTTATTTTTTTAATTACTTATTTCCACCAGCTGCAATCAAGGCATTTGATATAGTTCAATTTTCCCACACATTCGCATGCTTTTGTTTAAATCTTCGTTATCCATGGAATCTTTATATTTTGACTAACAAACTTGCTCATTATTCATTTCATTAGTATATGAGAATATTCTGATATTATTCTTTGAATATACTCTGAAGTCGAAAACGAGGCATATTCTTGGGGCATTTTCAATTTTACCACAGTAAGGAGAGGCAATTCTGGTTTTTTTTTTTTTTTTTAATTTGAGGTTAAATCTGGAAGTACGAAGATTTTTCAAAGAAACCAATAATAATAAAAAAGACCATGCATATATAGGTTTGCGGACCCAAGCTTTTTAGTTCCTGACTTCCTAAAAAAGGGAATACGTAGAGATAAAACCACAACAGAACAAATTCTCTTCATTTGGTCTCTTTTTATCTTTATTGTGGCTTTTGTTTTCAACGTGCTTTTCATCATGGTGTTGGGTCCTTCTACTCATGAGTACTTTCGTTTGCTTTATTCCCCCTTAGAAAGAGAGAGCTTTCGACATTTTTGTGTTGTCACTGTTATCTCTCTCCTTGACCTTGATTTTTTTAGGGGTATATATAATACCAGCGTGAACACCGTGCAAAGCACCGTATATTTTTTTTTTCTCTGCTACAGTAATACCGAGTTTAAATATTACATTAATATCTTTTTAATTGTTGCAGTGTCCCGCCTCTGCTACAGTATTTTTAAAATGTTTCTATGGCATCCCGTGTGCTACAGTAATATTTTTAAAAATGATACAATATCCTTTTTCCCTGTTTGCTACAGTAATACGACTATAGTAATTATTGTTGTAGTATTTACTGTAGAATGAATAGTAAATTTTGGGTTATCACATTTGTATAGAGGGGTAGATATATCAATTTGAAAATGTTTATATTCTAGTTTTTTTTCCCTTTAAATTTTTTGGTGTTTTAAGACTGACTATTTAAATTATCGTTTATATGGGTTTGTTAGCAAGGGAGGTTCAAACGCATCGCAAACAAAGAGTGATGCATACTTATAACAAAAGCAAGGAGAAAAGAAAATTTTTTCAAGGACCCAAAATATGGGACCAATAGGGAGGACAAGTGAGGTGTCCACCTCCTATTGGATAATGAATTGGCCATCATTAATGATGGCCAATTCATTATCCAATAGGAGGTGGACACCTCACTTGT